TCCTTGCATGGACAATAATGCCTGTAGCCTCTATCCATGGTGGTGAAAGCATATTCCATCCCACGGCTGCTTTCCTATGTGTGACACAGTAGATTAATTACGTAACTAACAAAAAAAAAATCATTTTAATTTGTCACTTATTGTACCAAATCTATCTATATGTATATTTATATATCTATATTTATACTTAATTACATGACTACTTATTACTGCATATATTTATAACAAAATTTATAATTATTAAATTTTAGAATGTTTAAAGTTACATATCACATTGATAACTACAACTATTTATTACTTTATATATTTATATTAAATTTTATAATTATAAAAATTTAGAAGGTTTAAATTGGTTATATTATTAGTGATATAAATGTTACATTATTAAAAAAAATATGACTTCTTAATTACTTATTATTGAATATATTTATAACAAAAATTATAATTATTAAAATTTAAAATATTTAAATTTATTTATATGATTGATGATATGGTTTTGGTACATAATAGAAACAAAAAATAATATATTGATTATAAATTATATTTAATAAATATTTATTAAAATTAATTATAATGTTTTTTATAATTTAAAAATTAAAATTATCTAATGATTCATAATTATTATCTATAAATTATATTTAAAAAAATTTATTAGAATTGATTATATTAAAAAAATTTATATGAATAGTTATACGATTTTACAAATGATAATAATAAATTTATTACGAGCGATGTTTAATAAAAAAATATGTATATTTATTAAATATTATAAATAAATTAAATTTCATTGTAAAATATTATAAATAGGAAAGAAATATTAATTAAATTATATAAAAAATTCACAAAAATTGAATGAATTCTCAAGTTGTGTTAATAGAAAATAAAATTATATATTTATTTTAAATCATATTTAAATTTGAATGTATTGATTTAAAATATTATTTTATAGTGTATATTATGAAATTATATTTACAATGAAGAGACAACTAAATTATAGTACAAATGTAAAAATAGTTTTTTAATATTTTATTAAAAAAATTTATCTTTTTTTTAATAAGTACATATGTTATTTATATTAATATTTTTTATTATCTTTTTTTTGCTATAATATTTTTTTACTAAATTATGTTCATATAATATTTTTTATTATCTTTTCACTAAATTATGTTTATATATTTTATTTTAATTTGTTAAATAAATATAAAATTGTATTATTTTTTAGCGATATCATGTATTAAATTTTATTTTTAGCTGTTTAAATTAACAAAATTTATCAATATTTTCTTAACTAATTTAATTTACAATATTATAAATTTAAATTATCTAAAATTACATTATGAAATTGACGTATCATATATGTCATATTTTAAAATTTGTAAATAAAAATATTTACAAAAAATAATAAAATTTCATGTTTTGAATATACATCTTAAAGAAATTTAACACATACTAATAATAAATAAAATATAATATTATTATATTTTTATTATTTTTATAGCACATATAAAATAATTTTTATAATTAAATTTAATTAAAATATTTAAATTAATTTATATAAAATTGACCACAAGTACTTGTTATTGTATATATTTACAACAAAATTATACTTATTAAATTTTAAAATACTTAAAGTCATATATAAGTTAGTAATACAAATGATAAAAATAGATGATAGATTGACTGTACATATTAAAAATAGAACAACAAATTAACCATGATTTAATAAAAATTTATTAAAAATTTTAGAACTCTTAGAGTTACATAAAATTTTAGTCACATAGATTATCAAAATGTATTTAATAAAAATTTATTATAATATTTTATATATCTTAATAATTTAATTATAATTTATTTATAATTATTACATTTGAATTATACTTAAGAAAAGTTCATTAAAATTAATTATATATAAAAACTTTACATTGATAGATATATAATGTTAAGAATGGAAATAACAAATTTGACATTAAATTATATTTAATAATTTTTTTATTAAAATTAATTATATATAAAAAAATGTAAAAGCTTACCATAAATTTAAAAAAAAAACTTAAAATTTTACAAAAATAACCTCACAAAAAATGAATGAACATTTTAAACTACTATTTTCTTAAAAAAAATAATATAAGTTATTTTAGGCCATATTCTAATTTGAATGATACTCACTTAAATAATTTTGTTAATTAATTTAATATATTTAGTATTTAAAAGTGTATATTAAGAATTAAAATATATTTGAAATTAAAATAAATTATTCATACTCACAAAATTATAATTTTGTATTGCATATTACTAAATCATTTTTTGATAAAAAGACAAATAAATTATAATATAAATAAAAAGATAACATTTATTAAATTAATTTTTTTATCTTTTGATATATCATCAAATATGTTTTTATCTCTCCATATATAAATAATTTTTACATTAACCTTGAAAACTTGTTAATAATTTTTTATATCAAATTACTTTTATATATGTATTGTAATAATGTAAATTCTCAAAAATCATTTGTCCAAGCAAGTATATATATATATATTAGGTTCATATATTTTATTTTGTTGCACAAAATTATATAAAGGTACTTGTTTTATTTATTGAATAAATATTTTGTATTATTTTTAAGTGATATTTTGTATTGTATTTTATTTTTATTTAATTAAATTTATATCAAGTATGTATTATAAGTGATATTTTTATTATGATATGAATATCAATAAAGATTTATATTAATATTGACATATCAAACATTACTCATTTTATAGATTCATTTGAATATAAAAATTATATTAATTTTTTATTATAATAATTATTTATAATACTTTTATTTATTTTTTAACTAAATTTTTAATTATTCACTATCACTTTAATGTTTAAATTTAAATTATGTAAATATTATTAAAAATATTGATATAACAATATTTATGATTTTTTTAAATATAAGAATTTTAAAAAACTTATATAAATTTTTTATTATGAGAAAATCAAATAGTGATATGATAATTTAAATATTTTTTATTTTTATTCATCCTTTAAGTAAAAATATTTTTAATTAAATTTCTAAGAGTTGTGTTGTTTGTTTTTAAATGTTACATAAATAGTTATAAATTTAAAATTTGTAAATTAAAAAAATAATTACAATAATTAAATAATATTAAATATCATTATAATAAAAAGGTAATATATTAATTTATTATTAAAATTTTATAATAACTATTGAATTTACATATTTAATATTTTTATATCATAACAAATAAATGAATAAATAAATTACAATATTTTACAATTAAATTAAGTTTAAATGTTATATTTATTTTATATATATATAATTTATTTGAAAAGTAAATTATAAATCTTTGATTTTTTAATATTTATTTTATATTTTAAATATTTCTCTCACAATTATAAAAAAATATGATCAAATAAAGATACAAATTAATTTTTAAAATATTATAAAATTAATTTTTAAATTAATATTTAAAATTATATTTATCTTTTTTAAAATTTTATATTCTAATGATGTGATTATTAAAAAATTTCATATCAAAATTGAATTTTGAGTATTTTTAAATTTTTTTTAGAATATTCAATCGTATTACAAACTTATAATTGATTCGCAAATTATAAACTAAATTATAAATAAAATATAAATGAAGATAAATATATATTTTTTGTATTGATATAATTGTTTATGATATGATATTTTTAAAATTAATATTTTTTTAGAAATTTTAAAAAATATTTTAAATTAGAATCACTAATTATTAATATAAATTTAATTATTATAAGTTAAGTTTAAATATTTTATTTTTAAAATCATAAATTAAAAATTTTATACATAATTTATTAAATAACTTTATATTAATATTTGGTTTAAGAAAAAAAATTAGACTTCATTTAAATATATATTATTTAGTATAATACCAAACTTTATGATTTATTAATTTTTTTATATTTCTATTAAATAATATATACTTTTTTATGTATTTTTATTTTTATTTTAAAATATATAATATAAAAAATTAATATTATAATATATTGACATTATTTATATTAAAAATAATAAAAAATTTACAGTTTAGTTTTGCTTTCATGATTCCTGCCATTTATTTTTAAAAAAATTATTTATTATGTTTGTATCAAGTAAAGAATAAAATTTTTGAAATATAAAACAATTATATATAAACAAGTATTTATCATATTTTTTTAATGTAATTATATTTAATATGATTAAATATAATAAAATTTCATTATTACATATTTTTATATTTAAATTATAATTTTGCGTTTATTTTAAAATAAAGTAATTTAATAAAAATATAAATAAATCTATGTAACACATTAATATATTACTAATTTATAACTAAATTTATAATTATTAAGATTTAAAATGTTTAAAATTATATATAAAATAAGTTTAACTATTATGTTTATTTTTTATATATAATTTAATTTAAAAAATAATTAAAAGTTTTTTTAGATTTATTTATTTTTCTCTCACATTAAAAAGAATTATTTATATATTTAAATTATAATTAATTTTAAAATAAATTAATTGATAAAAAGTATAAATATATTCGTATAAATTTGTACAACACGTGCATATTTACTAGTATTTTTGTCTTATTAAGCAGAACTTCTTGGTTGATCAATAAACTTTCACCATGCTTTATATTATGACCTTTTTTTTTGTATTAATCTATTTTTATTTGTTTAAAATTTAAGGAGTGAATTTTTAAGACATATTTAGTAGGCCTATTCTTTTTCATTATTGGGCTAGTAGTAGGTCCAATCATTCCTTCTCTTTTTATTGCCCCTTTTTTGGGTCATGTTGATGATTCATAGTAAGTAGAATAATTTGATGGGTTAACGTGGCCCAACATTAGCGGCCCATTTCATCAATTTGTTTCTCTGTATCACTGCAATCTCTAATACCTCTTTCCTTTCCTTCTTCATTCACCATTTCACCTCACACTCTAAGCTAATCTCGCAAATTCAACTCATAGTTCGTCCAGGTAATCAACGCATGCTTTATCTATTTATTTATTAAAGGAAAGATTTTGTTTCGACCATCACCAATTTAGGTCAATGTGTGTGTGTTTTTTTTTTCTTTTTACATTTTTAATTTTTTTTTTAATTTTTAGTGCTGGAGTAGAAAAATATTTGGATTAAGGTTTTTGTGGACCAATTTATATATATATGATGTTTGGATTGGGGTTTGGATCGTACCAGGAGTGTTTTGGGACATTCTATAGAACGCTTCCAAATTCATTTGCTTATTTTGTGGACCCTGTGAGGCGGTGTTAGACTCGCGGTTTTGCCAGTGCTTATTGAAATTGTAAATGTTGATGTTGATGCCTTACGTGTTTAGCATTTTTTACCATCTTCAAGTTTTCATGATGATCTCTTTTCTGGTTAGCATATTCCTTATCATGAATGTTTTATTTCATGTGGTTCACTGCTGTCTTTGCTTGTTGGGATTTTCAGGGGCCCAATCACTGTGATTCTATGCTACAAGTTTGTTGAAACTGTGTGGTTTTTTGACTTATTGATTTCGTGAGTCGCTATTTTGATTGAACAAAGACATGAGGTTTAGCCCCATTTACAGATTAATTTGTCGATACCCCCGTCGGTGTGATACGCGTGGGCCTTTGCAATATCGTGCCTTGCAGACTGATTCTGTTCCTAAAGATCAGGCTAAGCCAAGAAAATACAAAATTCCTCAATTTTATGATCCTTATGGCCCAAGACCTCCACCCTCAGAAAAAATCGTTCAGCTTGCAGAGCGAATTGGAGCACTATCTGAAGAAGAACGCAGTCAAATCATGCCTACTTTGGCAGAAAGATTAAAGCTTCCGAAGTTGCAGCCAATTTCAACAGAAGGCATGGACTTGGGGACTGAAGGTGGTGCTTCTGGACCAAAGGTTGAGGAGAAGAAGGCAGAGAAAACAGCTTTTGATGTGAAGTTGGAGAAATTCGATGCAGCTGCAAAGATCAAGGTGATTAAGGAGGTAAGAGCATTTACTAATCTAGGATTGAAGGAGGCCAAAGATCTTGTTGAAAAGGTACCCGTCATACTTAAACAGGGAATCACAAAAGAGGAGGCAAATGATGTGATAGAAAAAATAAAAGCTGCTGGAGGTGTTGCAGTTATGGAGTAGAATTTTGATTGTTGTTCAAGATCACAATTTTTCTTTGGTGTCCAATATGTTTTTAGGTTACCAACGCATTAGTATTAGAAGAAAATTCAGAAGGCACGAGCTGATTTAAGGGTTAAAAACCAAAAATTTGTTTGAATAAATTTTTTCTTAGTTGACTTTCCTGTTTAATCACTGTATCACTTATAACACTCCTTGTGCATATCCTATGCTCACATATTTTCTTCCAAATGAAATGTTTCTGGGATCAAAAGGAAAATTACATTATGGATTTTTTTAGTTCTCTTAGGCAGCGGGACATTGGAGATAGAGACAGACATTGAGACAATAAGGACAGAGACACTAGTATTCCTTTTTTTGTTTTTATAAGTTTACCCTATGTGCCTCTAGAGCTGAGACACTAGTGTTCCCTTGTTTAGGAAGTACATTGGTGTCTTTCGAATTTGTGTCTCCTGTGTCCTTTGTGTCTCTATCTCTCTAACGAGACACTAGCCAAACATGATATGTGTACTTCCGTGTCTCTGTTTCAGTGTCTCTGTCCCGCAAGCAAACGCTGTCTTACATTCTTGCAGTTGATATACTAATAGCACCCATTTGGATTCACATTTTAATAGGCATGGATCCACACTTACTTCAAAGCTACTAATTGTAGATTATGCATTGGATTCATATGTACAAGTTTTTTTAACGTGTTTCCAAAACACTAGATTTGTTAGATTTTTATGAAGTATTATGCCTCTTTTTATACTGGTCTATCAGTTGGTTATGTCCTTGTTCTGAATACCAGTGGCTTTTTGTTGTTAGTTCTTCTAAAGTTCTTTCAGCATGCCGAAAAATGTGATGATTAGAATGGTATTTTGACGTCGGCATGCATATTTTTATCAGTGTATGAGTTGATATAGTTGTTTTTACTTAGTCTATCTCGTAATGGTTTGTGGATTGATAATGAATTGACTATGAAATTTGAGGATGACACGGTACATAAACATTTTTCTATCATGGCTCTTTCGTATTAATCATTTTTCATTTTGCTATGATTTTCAAAAGAAACACCAGTCATGAAATAGGCTTTGTTTTGTCATTTCTTGATTATGTGACAAAGTTGTTTTCATTATAGATTTGTATCGCTTTCCCAGATGACTTGATAAACATCGCGTTTCCTCTGCGGGTTATTATACTGAAGTCCATGCCCTTATTTATTTGACAAATGTGTATTTGTGTAGATAGTCCTACATTTGTTTACTATTTTAACAATTATAACTTGATGCCCTTATTTATTTGATAAATGTGAAAGAGAATGTAATTGATGATTACCTTCTCTTACATGAATAATACGATGATCCTTTATTTGGCAAATGCAGTAAACTTGTTGAGGACATCTACGAAAATCTGAGTAAAACTTGTGTAGACACACAATCAATCAAAAAGTGACCGCACATTGAAATTTTGAAATGTTAAAAAAAAAAAACAAAGGTCCAATTCTAATTTTCTCTCTTTGTTTAATCATTTTTTGTTTTATCTCTTATATCTATCCCAATTGAACCCCGCTGTTGCACCCGAATTGCTCTATCCTATTCAACTAACTGATAGTGCTACATCGTTGCCCATTTATCCTTTTCTCTCTCAAACCCTAAATCATCAGTCAAGCATTCTTTTCATCGCACCCAAAACGTCGTTTCTCCTTTGTACTCGTTGTGGAAGTTGGTGTCAAAAGCATTTTAAAAATAAGAGTTCCCTAAGGAGTAATAAATCCGACACAGTGACTGGAGTTCATGTACTATTCGTATATTAACATTGAATCGGGACTCGACTAACTTTGTTGGTGCATGTTCAATTCAACAACTGTTGGAACCATAGAGATTGGGCCTCTTAGTATATTAAACTTTTTAATGGTTTCAATTTCTCGTGTTGAGCTAATTGTTGTATTAAAAATAGAAGACCTTAGTCTACAGATTTTGGAAGGAGAAAGAAGAGAGTCTCAGAAGTAAGAGATAAGAAGAAGAGGTGTTGATTTATTTTAATGTTTTTTTTTTCAAATTACGAGAGAATTTAAAAAATTTAAAAGTAGAAAAATTTATAAGACATCTAGAAATTTTTAAAACTCTTTTTTTTTTTTAATTCTTAAATGAAAAGAGAGATTTTAAAATCTTTTTCTTTTCCTCTTCTTTCTCTCAATTGAATCCACTCATATCTAAGTATAGTTTGTGTATCAAATATCTTTATTGGTAGTGGTTGTAAAGCTGCCAAAAGGTTTGCTTAGCTCATAAGTCATAACTATTGAATCGAAGAAGATAGAAGGAGACGGTGGAGAAAGGGTAGAGAATAAATTTCAGAAATATACTTTTATGTTTTCAATTTTTAAGTTTTACTCCAAAAGCTCTGCTTATTTTATTTTCCACAGAAATTATGTTTCATTCCATTATACACCAAAGAAAATGCTAATAATATATTTACACATTATTTTTATTATTATATAAGTTTATATGATTTCTATTGAAAAATATATCTCCCATTTTCATTAATAATTTTCTCATAAATGTTAATTTAATAATAAAAACACGTCACAAAATTATTAGAATTTCCATCTTTACAAAAAAGGATATGAAAAAAGATTGTGTAAACACGTACGCAAACTTGCAATACCTGCTTTTGTCGTGTCTTAGTCATGCACACACACAACCCAGAAACAAAAAATTGGACCAAGATCAGATCAGATCTACCTAGAAGAATATTCTAGAGAATCTTACCATGACAGGATTATTATTAAAAAAGAAGAAAAAAACCCAACCAAAAACAAAAATATACACATAAATAGAAAAAGTTAAAGGAATACGAGAAAAGAAGGAAAGGTGTCAGCACAAAATGGAAACACGTGTCAGTTAAATACAACATGTTGTGGTTCCATAACAGAAACAAATGTCACATGTTGAGTCACTACTCACTAGTGCCCTTTCACCTCCAAATCTTAGTAATAGGGAAACACAGATCAGAGAAGCATAACAGCACTTGCTTTTCCTTAAAAAGCCCGAAATTTCTCTGCAATAAATCCTGAGTTAAAACTCCTCGTCTCAAACAAACACTCTCTCTCTTCCTTAACAATTACGAAAGATAAAGTAAAGTAAAAATGGTATCTTCAGAAGGTGGTGGCAAATTGATCAAAAGGGTGTTGGGTTTGGGGTATTGGGTGCAAGGATTCAGGTGTTTTCCATGGTTGGCAGTGAGTTTCTTCCTCAAGGATGGTCTAAATGTGGACCCTTCCACTCTTCAGCTTCTTCAGAATTCTGCAAACCTTCCAATGGTTGGAAAACCCCTCTATGGTCTCGTCTCAGACTCCGTCTACATTTCTGGTCAGCACCGAGTTCCCTACATCGCCTTTGGAGGTGAACTCTCCTTACCCATTTGCTTTCTCTCTCTGATTTTATCATGCAAAGGCATAGTTGCACTCTTCTTTGTTTAGAGAATTGGGTTACAGCCTTTTACAATTGGTTGTTGGTTCCACAATGTTGGCAATTGAGAATCGGTTGTTTCTTCTTTAAAATAAATAAATAAATAGATGAATAAGTGAGTTCATCCTTTTTTGAGTATAGCTTTGAATAAAATAATTTGCATTGCTCGTTCAATGTTTGCTGCTTTGGAAAAGCATAAAGGAAAAGGAATGCCGAAAAAGAAGGATTGAGATTCTGGATTTGAGAAATAATGAGGTGGGAGTTTGGTATGTTACTTTTGTGCTTTTGTTGAAACCAATTTGGTATTGTCTCTTCAGTATGAAGTTTTCTGTTTATAGATTCTTGTATGTCCTGATACAGTGATACATTATCTAATTTTTTTTCCTTGCATCAAGCCAAAGGCAGAAGAGGTATCTTCACGGTTTTTGCCAGTCATGACACCTAAAAGAGAGAAGAAACAAAGAAGGAAAAACCCAAATCCTGGTCGAAGACTGAAACTTCATTAAGACTTGACTATGATAAGACTTCTTAAAACTAAAACAACCCATGGATAGGAACTACTTAAATAAATAAATAAATGTCATTGTTGCTAAAACTTAGTTAGAGGCAGGGTAAGTAAATACTTGTTGTCAGTTTCCTTGTGAAGGAAATGTGAAAGATCACAATTCTTTCTATGAAATGGAGAACTGTTCAATGTTCATTTAAATGGTGTTCTTTGTTTCTGTTTTTCAACAGAAGAAACTTTTATTGGAAGGGTTAGATAGAGGGGTGAGGAGGAACCATCCTTAGACAAATTTATAACAAAGAAAGTGGTCAAACAGAAAGAAAGATAACCTAAAGCAGAACAAATTTACCAAGATGATTCTTAGCAAGAAACCATGTGCTGAGCACTAAACAGAGGCCAAATAAATGGCTTTGTCTCAGAGCATGACTGAGGAAAGAGGCCTTCCTTTAAAATCCAAGGATCAGAAAAATGTTGATCTTACAGCCAAAATACATTTCCCCTCATTAGTCATTACACATGGTAGGCAATGGTGATTTGACCATCAGTTATTAATTGAGAAATTTGAATCAGCAATATCAATCATTTCCCTTTAAGCAATAGTTTCTATCATATGGAAACTAGATATTGAGTATTGACCATTTTCATGTCATGGAACTGATTGACAAATGATTGCATAGAAAAATTTATGGCAAATTCACTGGTCAGTTTAAACCAGCAAATTCAAGTCTTGTACCTTGCAATTGGAATTCTAAGATCCCATCATGCTTTACAATCATCATGGGCTGGCTGTTGCACTAGTCCCTTAACTAGTTTTTGGGTGAATACTGCAGTGTTGACATTGTTACCTGTGCCACTTGATTGCAGCTGAGAGAGGGAGGGGTAGGCTCTGAAACCAATTGATAAGAACTTTGGGAGAACCATATCACAAAACGTTTGTTGTTGTATTTGAAAAGCTCAAGGCCTTATAAACACCAAACTATTATACTTTCAATGTGAGACTCAAAAGTTTCATACTTTACAATTGAGATCTTAACAGTTTCATGATTAAATTTATGGCATAAACAATCGTATAAAAAAAAAACTTATTGAATAAGCATGTAATTAAGTTGTTTATCCAAATGTACTTAACGAGAGCAAATTTTGTGTCTATATATCCATAGGATAGAACTTATATGTTATTTTTTAGGTACTGTTAGTGTCCTTTATCAATTAAAATTAGAGTTTCACTTTAACAAAATATTTGTATTTAATGTTATTTCAGATTACTAAGATAAAACTATAATATTTATTAGTAAATAACATCAACAATACCTAAAAAATTGCGCCTTGGTTTTGTCCATATCCCTATGTTGCACTGCACTTGGTACCTCTACCTTAGTCGTTCCATTTAGCACACAAGTCTGATGCAATTATACTTAATGCTTTGATATCTGTTGGGTTTGGGGATCATATTTATCACAAGTGCAACATGGTTGAACTCCATGTGAATTATTATTTCTGTCCACTTTGGGCTAAGAGTACTGTTCCTTTTTTTCTTATAAGCTATTCCATCCTCTCTAATTGGTGAGAATCCTTGCAAAGTCAAACCTAAGTCAGATTGTTGGAAGGAACTGGTGAATGAAAATATTTGCATACCTCGTATAGAGAAGAATCATTTGTATGACTTAATTAACCACTTGGCATGAATCAGTTCCCTCTGGCTCCAACATTTTGCTTGACTGGACTTTTCAGAAATTTCCCCCATTTTGTTTTCGTGGAAATGTCCTCCCTAGTTTCTTGGATGCTAAAATTGGAACTGGAATTGGTCTTCATGCATCTTCATTCAAGTTCTCATCTAAAGCAACATCTTTGATAAGTTTGATGCCATTTTTCCAATTTCGTGCAAGCAGCCTCATTCTTGGATCTTGATAGTGTTCAATTATATTTAGAGAAAAAGGCTTCAAAGTTTGCTAAAGCTTTAAAGAGAATCACATCATGAATTTTAAAGCATTCTAGTTTTATTAATTTTATTGCATACTTAATTTCTGCTAGTGATATAACTAATTCCTTAGAGATTTCTTTGAATCTGTTAATGCAGCTTTCTTGCAGGCACTGTCATGGCTAATTATAGCGATCACTCCGTCAAACATGTCTATTTTCACCATTTCCATATACCTCCTTCTCAGTAATCTAGGTGCTGCAATAGCTGAGGTTGCAAATGATGCCATTGTTGCAGAGATGAGTAAACAGCCTCCTTCCTCAACAAAGCATGCCCAACCATCTTCCTCGGGTAGCCTACAATCGTTTGTTTGGATAGCTTCCTCTGCAGGAGGAGTTCTTGGAAACTTTCTCGGCGGCATTCTTATTGGCCGTTTCTCCCCAGAATCTATGTTTTTACTTTTTGGCCTTCTCCTCACTCTCCAATTTTTTATAACCATGTCGGTTCGTGAGAGTTCTCTTGGGCTCCCAAAGAGTCCATCTGTTGGGATAAGGAAACAGCTTTCAGAGCTATTGATTGCTCTAAGAAAGCCTGAAATTGCATATTCAATATCATGGTTTACTGCATCTTATGCCATTATTCCCGCTCTTACAGGCACCATGTTCTTTTACCAAACACAGTATCTGAAAATTGACTCATCAGTATTGGGTATCTCCAAGGTGTTTGGCCAGGCAACAATGCTCCTATGGGGCATCATATATAATCAACACCTGAAATCTGTTCCACCAAGAAAACTGATATCAGCCATTCAAGCTATGATGGCATTCTTCATGATTTCAGATTTCTTGTTTGTGCGAGGATTTTATCGACAAATGGGCATGCCAGACTCACTCTATGTTGTGATTTTCTCAGGATTCTTAGAGGTTCTCTTTTTCTTTAAGATTCTACCATTCAGTGTTTTAATAGCACAGCTTTGTCCACCAGGATGTGAGGGTTCTATAATGGCATTTCTTATGTCTGCTGTGGCCTTGGCATTCATTGTGAGTGGATACCTTGGTGTTGCACTTGCATCATACATCAATATAACAGGAAGTGATTTTTCAGGGCTTCCACTTGGTCTTCTCATACAAGCTGCATGCACTGTGGTGCCAATTTTTTGGTCATCATGCATACCTGATCATGTAAAATCAAAAGCCAAGCGGAAAGACTGAAATTTATATTAGCTTTTATATTTAGAGAATATAATAATACGATTCAATGAAATAGTGGTATGATGCTGAAGTGGTTGATTTTGTTCATTTCACTGCATTCATGCATCATCTAGCAGATACAAGTTGGTTTATTAATTTTTTAATGTAAAATTGAAAGGGTGTAAAGGCATAGTATGACCATGTGATGATCATGTTGGTTCAAGTAGTACCTTTGTTTTGGGTTGAATATCAAGTGGATAGGCTCTTCCTTTTATTTGTTAAATTTTGGGTGGATTTTTGCATTCTGAATATCTTCATTAATTGATATTTGAGGAAGTGAGCATCATTTGAAAGTCAAATCAAACAGAACGTGTCTTGTGTGAGCTGAGCCTTTTCAAATATCAAATCAAATTCTGAGGTGAATTTAAACAATGAAACATAATAATAAAGTTATGTTGGGGGGTGATTGTTAACAATGATCAATGGAATTATCAAAATTGCAATTAAACGATTCTGCAAAATCATTTGAGAAAAGCACGAAATTATCAAACTATAATAATTAACAACAATAATATCTTCCGTAGAGCAGCAAGAGAAGAATAGCAAAGACTGAAATGCTAACATTATAACCTACTAATATTAGAAAATTTTTCCAAAAGAAGAAAAAAAAAGGAAAATCTCTACTTGTGCTTATTCCACAAGCATTCTAACTGAGCTTTGTCACTTTCCAAAAGGATCTTGATATGCTGTGGGGGGTTCAAACCGAACTTGTGGGCACGTTCCCAGCGTTCTAGTCTTGTCAATCCAATACAAGGTCCATAAGCTACGTTCATGTCAAATTCCCTCAAAATCTTTTCCTCCTCAGTGTACTCATTATCTATTAAGAAACAAATTATAAGCAAATTTTATGAGCCAATAAATAATGATCTTGCATTTGATTATTCACAGTTTCAACTCCATAAGAGAATAATAAGAATAATTGTTTTACAACTATAGATGCCACCAATTACCATGATACTCAGTGACCGCCTGAGATTTTTTCTTTGATTTAGATGGCTTGTCAATACCATTTTTTCTCTGCTTGTAGAACCTCTTCATCTTTTCTTTTATTTCACTTCAAAGTTTGAATTTTTGAACCTTTTCTCTATCTGCCTATGTGAAAACCGTATTAGAGTTTTCCTTTCACACATTTATATGTGACATTTTGAAAAGGTTATGTCAGTTACATCAATTGTTCAAAATTTGAATATACAGATAAAATAGAAAAGTAACCGAATTATCAAATAAAAAATTTGAATATGACAAACAATGATAGACGTTAGTTCTATAAGGATAAAAAAATATAAAATAAAAATATCATATAGAATAACGGTTTAATTAAGATTTTCAAATCAAAGAAGAAATTATAAAATTAAATTAGTATGGTAATGTACAAATTCAAAGTTTTAAATTTAAATTTAAATTATAATAATATTAGAATTTATTTTATCTAAGAAAGATATTTTCTACTTAGTACAGCGTATCAAAAGTTTAAAGTTTAAAATTTAAAATTAAGTAAATACTATTTATAAAGAATAAAAAAAATACTCTTATTAAAAAAATTGTTAATTTTGCTTGCATCTAGAGGGTTTTAGGAGTATATAGATGTCTAATATTTTCTTGCACCACATAATGATTACAAATAATTATAATTGACTAATTGCATATCAATTTTCCCCCCCAAAAAAGTGAGATACAATATAAAAATATAAACATTGTATTAGACCAATGCCTATTTTCTTTTCTCATCATTTGGCTACAAAAACAGCAACACATTAAATGACTGGAAAAACATGATTGGCTTATTGTTTACTATCTTATATATATATATAATGTTAAACTGATTAAATCTAAATTGGTGTGAATTTAATTTCTTGCCTACATATTTATCCTTTTTTTTTATTCGAGTTTCTCAATTTAATAACTTTTCTATTCCATGTAAGGGTATTATTAAATCATTTTTCGTAATGAATATATAAGAAGTATTTATTTAAATTATAAAGTTTAATATATTCATAGTAATAAATATTATAATTTTTTAAAAATTATTTTTTATTGTATGTTTATGAACACACATAAAATATATATTAAATTTAAATAAATTTTTAAATAAAAATTTTGTGAAATTAATTTTAAATTAAAAAATTGAATTTCAAAAATGTAAATATTTCTAATATTAATAATAAATTATAAATTTTAGTTTACTCACTAAAAAAAATATAAAATTATGAAAATTTAAATTAAATTATATCTGGAAAAAATTCTGAAACTAAAACAAGTTAAATTTAAGAACCGAGAGTGATGTGTAGGTAGATTATTATTAGTATTATTAAATAAGAAAATAATTAATTAGCGTTATATTCCTTTTTGGTTTTTTATTCTTGTAAAAAATTAAGGTGATAGATATATTTGTTTTGTTGAATGTTCTGGTCCGGTTAGGGCATTTGGCGGGGAATGCAAACGATACTGAGGGCCTCAAATCACCAATTTCTCACCCTTCCAATCCCAACCAATTCATTTTCCTCCAATTTCAATCAAGGTTCCTTCCTCTGTTTCTCTCTTTCTTCTTTTCGTTGCCACATTCTCCCAAATTTTGCTTATTAGGGTTTCGTAGAACCAACCATAATTCAATTGTTTTGGCTCCGATTGTAGGGTCAGTGATTTTGTTCTTTAAAATGAAAGATGGTGATTAGATTTTGTGTTGATGTTGGATTCCGAAGTTTGTTATTTTATTGCAAAGTGGTTTGCATGTTTCTGTGGCTTCCGTTGCTTTAATTCAAGTTAAGAGTGGATTTGTGAGTTTTCTTTGCATGCTCGCGCTCAGCTTCCTCTACGGAATTTCTATTTTTTGTGCTGGGTGTGACCTTGTAAACACACTCTTGATCAATAAATTGAAGGACTTGTGGGACTATAATTATTTATTTTCCTTGAACTGTATGGTATCTGAAATCAATGGAATGGAAGTAGTAAATTGAACAATTTTTACAACACAAGGGCACGATTTATTCAATTATTGGATCGTCGTCGGAGATCTTTAACAATGAAAAAGCCCAAAGTTGAAAATTTAGTATGAGATTAAAAATAATGTAGAAGTGAATGTATCTTGAGTCAAGAATTTTTAAAATTCAATATTTGATGGGAAATGATTTAAAGTAATAGTAAGAGCTTCTAATGTCTTATGACTGCAAAGCTTGTGATTATGTATTTAGAGGTGAATTGAATGTTTGTGTATTGTATTCTTGCTAGCCAGCTGAGAGAGAGTCTGTGCTACTTGTGATGGGTGCTCCTAAGCAGAAATGGACTGCAGAGGAGGAAGCAGCGCTTAAAGCTGGAGTTGTCAAGCACGGTGTTGGTAAATGGCGTACAATACTTAAGGATCCAGAGTTCAGTGGAGTCTTATATCTGCGATCTAATGTGGATCTCAAGGTTTGGTTATGTTGGTTGTTTTGTTTCTGTCATTTTCCTTATATTTTAATGAAGTAGTGTTGGGCCATCTATATTACTATGCTCATTGACTTGTTTGTGTGGTTTTGATATGGGGTATATTGGTTAGGATAAATGGAGAAATCTGAGTGTGATGGCAAATGGATGGAGCTCCAGGGAAAAATCTAGGTTAGCAGTCAGAAGGGTGCATCAGGCCCCAAAACAGGAGGACAACCCAATGGCTATTGCTCCTGTTGCTCCAAGTGATGAAGAAATTGCTGATGTTAAGCCTCTTCAAGTTTCTAGAGATATGGTGCATATTCCTGGTCCAAAGAGGTCTATAGTAAGGTTGGATTTTATTTTATTTTTTATTTGGTAGTTTATTTTACTATAATATCTACCTGGTATGCAGAAAAAGTGGTACTTTAGCATTGCTATTTCAATTGTCTTCCAATAAGGAATTCTTATTCAGTGTTAAGGTTTTTAATCTAATTTCTGGCATGCTTGTCTGATTTCATTTTCTGGTGTTGTGTTGCATGCATCCTAAAAAGCTTTCATTTCTTTGAAATTTTTTTTTGTCTTTATTTTTTGGCATTGTTGTTTTATGTGAATTATGACAGTATATGTGTTACCCTGTTTATTCTATACAGATTAGATAACCTTATAATGGAAGCAATCACTAGCTTGAAGGAGAATGGTGGTTCTAATAAGACAACTATTGCAGCTTTCATAGAGGTATAGTCTGAGTTTTAATCCTAACTTCTGTTTGCTCTGTTTTGAATTCACTTAGTTCTTTAGTTGGCGTGCTGGTTTCCTAACTTTATGATTCTATTTGAGGCCTATTTCGAAACATAAACTTCTTGATTAATGTGGTCCTAATAATTATTAGGTTTTCTATGCTGTTCCATTATATATCAATTCAAGATACTATACAGCATCCGTGCAATTCCTCACATTACAGTCTTTATTTTTATTCAATAATTTGTCCATTGTTTTCTAACTAGGGCTTCATATTGTCTCAAAATTCCCCTCTGATCTTGATGTAGGACAATCTAAGGAATAAGGGTACTCCTCTTGACTGGGCGTTCCCTAGATAAACATAGAATGCTCTGCTGGGTTGAGTACTGTTGTAACTTAAAAATAAGATACTTCTTAAATGAGGGAAATTCATTATCTTAATATAAGCAACGTGTCTAAAATGTCTACACTAAACATCTGTTGATAGACCCAGCAAAGCCAATACCTTAATAACTACTCTAAGCTAGAATTAACTAATCCAAAATAGAGTAAAACCCCCCAAGAACAAAGAACAATAAATAATCCCAAATTGAAAATCCTAATTGTGAATTTAAATCCTAGATAAAATGATGAACTAAATAGTCAAATCTACAGTACTCCCTTGGTGAGATCCAATAGAGTAGAATCCAGCAAATGAAATCATTCAGTAGGTTTGATACAACATCTGAATTGGGACAATTTTTCCACTTTGCAAAGTGGTGGCGAAAAGAATTAAAAAAACAATGTACTTGTCATCCAATACTCTCTTTATCTAATTTGGTGATTGAGGAACACAAGGAACTCTAGGATTCTGAGATCTGGTATTTGCAAAATCAACTTTGGTCAAAGTAAAGCAAAGCCCTTTCTTCAATATAGAATAGAATACTTAACAAGCCTAAAGACTAGAGCCAAAGGAAAGAATAAGTGTTAGTCGTCCTATTGGGCTAAACGTTCAAAGGTGAGGTGACCTATGGAAGCTCAATCCACAGAGAGGTGCAAGTTCAATTCTTTCATACAAATGTTGTCAAGATCACAATTTTGATTATACATTCAAAATTTCAAACTATTCTATGATCTTTCAGTGGCTGAGTGATCCTGGTCCCACCTTTGAACATGGACATACTTCATATGATAGTAATGATGCTGAAAAAGTGTGATGCTGTTTAACTTCAAACTTTCAAATCACCAAATTTTCCATGGTTAAGGAATGGCACTATCTGTGCTTGTTACTGTTGAAATTGAGGTTTTTAGCATTCTATTTGGTAGATACTGCTCTATTTTTGTATTTCATATGTTATATTGTTTTGAAATCTGTAGGACCAATATTGGGCACCACCGGACTTCAAAAGGTTGTTGTCTGCAAAGTTGAAGTTTTTGACAGCTAGTGGAAAACTGATCAAGGTATGTTTCATGATGTCACAGCTGATATCTTTCTGTTGTGAACATACAATAGAAATTGTCATTAGTGCATTTGCTTTTGCTTTTGATGAAACTATCTAAAGAGATTGGAATAAGATAAAAGTCTCTGACTTTTGCTTGATGCCATAGCAATTGGCTTCATGTGAGAAATGGAACCCCCATTTATAGTGGATTAGGCTCTCCTCTCTGCCATGGACCTTAGGAGTGGGCTTTCCTCTAAATTGAATAGTATCAAACCCAGTATGTTTATTAATCTGTGTAGATGGCCTGCTCTTTACAACTTTTTGAGTTATGTACTGAGCATGCGAAATGGATAAGATTGAAAGATGGAATTGTCATATGAATAGAGACTGTCCCCTCTTTACATCCTGCCTTTTAGGAGTGGACTCTCATCAACATCAATGCTGTTTATAGATTTTACTGTTTCATGGACAATACTGAAGCATTTACACTAAGCTGTGTTTGATTAGACATACTGTATAGTTATTAATTATGAGACTGACAAAGTGTGTGGAGTGGAAGTTGGGACTTTTATGAATTGAGTGATGGCTCAATTAAGAATGCTAGGGCAAGAGAGTTAGGGGAAATTGGCTGAAAGAAGTAAGGAAAGATGATGAAGAATAAGTCTGAAGTAAGTTCTCATGTTCAAGCATTTTTATGAATGATTAAAATTCAATATGACAAGGCTGTTAAGATCATTTGTTCAGACAATGGTTCTGAATTTTTATTAAGAAGCTTGGACTCCGAAGTCTGAATATGGCATTAACCACCGGACAAGCTGTGTGGAACCCCCCCAACAGAATGCAAGGGTAGAAAGAAAAGGAAGCAACAACACATATTGAGTGTTGGTCAAGCACTGCACTTTCAGTCTAATCTACCCAAAACATATCGGTTTTATGCTGTTCAACATGCTATGTATTTAATCAATAGAGTACCAACTCCACTGCTTCATAACAAGTCACCATATGAATGTTATATGGTGTTCTTCCTGATCTCACCTATCTACACATTTTTGGTTCATTGTGTTATGTATCAACATTGACAAATAATAGATCCATTTTTGAACCTGAAGGACGTAAATGTGCTTTCCTAGGTTATAGACATGGGATAAAAGGCATTTATAACAAACCCTTTTATAGTTACATTACTACTGTCACAGCTGGCGGTTAATCAGATAGGTGCCTTTACTCTTTGTATGTGTGTGTACACACACGTGACACATTGTATTATTCAGTTGGTCAAGTAATGAATTAGCAGTTTTCTCTCATTTTCTCTGTGTCATATTCTATGATGTTTATAATTTTCAAGGAGTCCATAATTTCTCTTGATTTAGTTTTATTTACATTTCATTTTATGCGGGCTTGACAGAATTCTGGATGCTGTTTTCAATTTGTGGCAGATATATTGTTTCTATTAGAGATCTTACTTTTTGTTTGACTTTGATATTTCAGGTAAAGCGCAGGTATAGGATTGCACCTACTTCAGCGTATTCTGACAGAAGAAGAAACTCATCCATGTTACTAATGGATGGAAGGCAGAAAGCCTCTATGAAAGCTGACAAAGATGACATCAACATCCTTACCAAGTCTCAGGTAGATTTAGAATTAGCAAAGATAAGGTCCATGACTGCACAAGAGGTAGCCGCATTTGCTGCTCAAGCAGTATTGGAAGCAGAAGCTGCCTTAGCAGAAGCAGAGGAGGCAGCAAAGGAGGCAGATGTAGCCGAAGCTGATGCAGAGGCAGCCCAAGCTTTTGCAGAAGCTGCAATAAAATCAGGGAAAGGGAGAAACACAAGATGGTAAAACTCTACTTTTCCCTTTTTTTGTGTGTTACTATAATACATCTGTGGAACACACAAGATTATTTTGTATACAACTAAGAAGCAACAGTGTGAGAGGTTTATCTTTAAATGTGTTCACAAGTTTGAATTTTATTTTCTTTTTCATATTTATCTTGTCATGAGGGCAAGGAGCACATCTGTTTCTCATAATGATCAGACATGTGATTTGGTTGTGGAGGGTTTTTTCATTTTGGAGACATTTCATTTGGCTCCTTGCGATTCTTTGGTATTTCTATCAAATAAACGTTGTGTTTAATCTTCTTGAATATTTAAATGTTCTAGATCCATGCTTAATGGCGTCTGAAGAATTGGACATGAGAAGCGATGAACCGTGGTGTTGGACACAGCCGGATACATATTTATCATTCACTGGCATTGTCAATATTTTACATATATCATAATATTGGGGGCTCTTCCAGTGACACTCTGCAGGTTTCACCGTTATTAGGAGATTATTCTGAATTTTTTGATCTTGAAATATCCATGTAGATAGAAACATTGTTTCTTCCTTGTAATATCTTTAGAGCTCTTGTTTTTCTTTGCGCTGTGGCCATGTACCATTTGTAGAAAGTAGATGTTTAGATGAATGGGAATCCGTTCAAATTTCTTCAGGAACTTGCAGCTTTATCGGTTCATCCTTTCGCATATGTTAAAAAGAATTTTAAAGTGTAATAAAGGTTCTGAATAATGTTGGAGGTGTTGTGTACCAGCGTTGGAACCAGGTGCCTTTTCATTTCTATAATTAAGTAGCAGGGAGGATTATTAAGGAGATATGTAAAAAGATATAGTAAAACTAAGAAAAATATTAAAGAAAAATGTTAAATAACAGTAATATTTTATTAAAATTAATATTAAAAAAAAATACTTTGTTGCTTATGAATTCTTTATTATTTTGTTGCCCAAGTTAACTGTGCAAAGAATAATTTTAAATTGCTTATAAATAATCCTAATAAATACATACACTTTTTTTATTTAACATTTTATACGAAATAACTGTTTTTATTTTAATTATAAGAAATAAAGATATTTTTTTTAAATCCAATAATTACTAATTTTTTTATATTCTTATTTATTATAAGATTTATGTCAATGAGTTACTCACTTTATTTTTCGTACAAGTTAATATATTGTTATAGATATTTTTGAATGATTATAAATTTATGATATATAATTATTTTTTTATTTGTCTTTGTTTACTTTTTTTATGTATATAAAAATACCTGATAGGTATATATTTTAAAAATAAAAATATTATTAATAATATTTATAAAAAAAATAACAAAGTGCTCAAACGAGGTTGAGATTTTTTTTGAAAAAAAATTTCTTTAAAAATTTAATTATAAAAAATATAAAAATTATTATTTTTTATTTGATATTGTTTTTCTCACATCAATCGACGTATAGAGGGGCATTACTATATTTGTTTTTCTTTTTAAATAAAATCACTTTTTACTCAAGTGATACATAATGTGTTTGATATGTGTAATTGATTTATTTTTAAATTTTGTTGTAGTTTATAAATATTCATGATATTATTTAAGTTTAAAATATGTATATATAAATATTTTAAGGTTTAAATAATTTTTTATTGATCATAAAGTAATGACGAAAATATTATGATAGAAAATAAAATAAATTCACGTTTCTTCGGGTCTTATATTAACTAATATATATTATATACTTTATTTGTATTATGTATTCAATATATAATAAGTTATTTAATACTTATTCGGTTTTTTTTTTCATTTTTAATATTGATTTATATTAATTTTTAGCATTATAATTTTTAATTTTGTATTATTCATTTTATTTTCACACTTTGAATACCTTATGCGTAATTCTTTATTTTTTAAACAAATTATATAATAAATTTAGACTCGTGTTTAATATATATTATGTTATGTTATTATAATTTGGTTCTTATTTCTGTTTAATATTGATTTGATTTTTATATAATAATGTTATAATTTTTTTTATAGGTTGGCTTTATTTCTTTATCTTAAATATATTATGCATAATTGTGAATACTACTTTAAGTAAGATATGATCCTCTGCATTGAAATTTAACATGAGACAGTAAATTGAACCCATCTTATTCATTCATAATTTCCATAATTTTATATTATTATTTATAAAATAAATTATATATTTTTAATGGTTGTAATCCTATGCGATGTCAAAGCAAAGGATCTTCTCCCACTTTAAGTATATCATTTAATTGGAAGGAGTGCTCTACGTGGCAGCATTAGGGACGATACTGCCATATTTTTTTTTGTCAAAATAATTTTTTTAAATTTTAATCTATTTTTAATTTTTTCATATAAAAATTAGTCTCTAAATATTACTATTAAATGATGACGTAATTAATTCAAATGTTATCCTGTGTCAATTTTGGTGTCACATTTTTTTTTGTAAAATTAAATTAGTAAGAAGAGTCAAAAGTACTAATTTAAAAAAAATAAAAAATAATTTTGTAGGGACTAAAATTAAACTTTAATATATTTTGAGAGAATAACTATGAGTAAGTATCTATTTTAGTCATGAAATTTTATGTCTCCATTAATTTAGTTCTTAACTTTATAAAATTACATTTTAATAGGGTGTAGTGAATGATGGTAAGGGAGCCATAATAGGTATGGAGATTGGTGTTTGAGGTGAAACCAGATGATGGGTACAAAAGGGGAATAGCATTAGCAGCTAAATTACTTTTATAAGCTTTACCAAGCAAATTTTATTTTAAATTTAGTGCTTATATAATTTTGTTATTGGTCTCCTAACTATATATAGGTTTGCTATTGATAGTACATGAACCTTTGAATCTTTCTGATAGAGCTCCTACCTTCGAATCAAAGTAGTTTCTTCATTTGCCACACACCTTAACAAAATTAGAAAAAAATTGATTTAATTAGAAGAAATGTAGAAATCATATTTTAACTATTAAGATGTTCATATACAAATCTTGGTAAATAGTTGAGTTTTTTTAACCATCTTACACAGTTTCATACGCACTCACACATAAAACAAATTTCGATAATCTTTATACCTTAGTGTATAGTTTGGCTGCTGTCCGCGAATGAACAATTAGATACCCTTAATGCACATTAGAAAGTATACCAAACTTGGTGGTTTACCAAGGGGGAAAAAATCATTATTAGTTTGAAAAATAAATTGGGAATAATTAGTTTATAGTATACTTATTAGCGGGCATGGAGTGCATCTAATTTTGAAATGTTTCTAAATTATCTATTGATCTAGCACGATAACTTGTTAATCGCATTTTATGCATTAAACTAGTTCGGTTTGATTTGGGGATGTCACTTCGCTATCTAAAGTGCTTAAATATGCGTTTTAATATAACTGCTTATCAATCAATACTCACACTTATGATGGTTACTATGCACACATCTTTATCAAGAAGTAGTAGATTGAAGAAAAAAATTGTCGAAGTTTCAATTCCTTCAGCCAGTTGAATAACTCACTAGACATTAGCTAGTGATTAAAGCTTAATACATGGAATAACTTTCATTGTCTATCGATCTTTGGTCTTATTTGATGGAAAAATATCTACATAGATTTCATATTGAGATGCTGCTCTTTTTCCTTTAGGATCTTGCCATTATTTGACCTTCTTGATCCTTGCCAAACAATTGTCCAAAGGCCTTGTGTGGGGTAAGAATCTTAGGGGTGATTCAGGATTCAGTTGTTCGAGCCTGGGCAGAAAAACATATGAAAATATGTCAATAAAATATTTGATTGATCGATAAAATTGATATATTTTTTACCTAACAAATAAACTTGTATTCAAGATTGTTTAAATAGTTAAATAAGGATGTAAGAATATATTCATGTGAAGTAAGTGTTTTTTTTTATTCTGTATAGCTTCAGACGTGCATTAATAACAATCTAATTCTACAAAAACTCATGCATACTATTAACAAACAAAATGAAAAGATTTGAAAAAGCAATAACTTGAAATTTTAAGTTGAGAAAGTGATCTTTAAATTACTTTTAAAGTCGATCTTTAACAACAAAATTATATTTGCATTAATATAGATTGAGGTTCAATCACATATTGTATGAAAAATAAAATATGTGGATGACTTGAAGGGAAATAAAATATTTACTCATAATTCAGAAGAAAATGATGAAGGAAAACCGAGATTTCCAACTTGGCAAGATCATTCCCAGGACATAGTCTAGTTCCTGCACCAAATGGAAGGAATTCTCCAGCCTTGCGAATCTCCTATTAATGATCATCTCAATTGTCAAAACAAATTATGAAGCTCCTGTTAAGTGTAAAACATATAGAATCATCTATTTCACATGTATGAAAATCAAATCTTTGAAACTTACATTCCATCTCTCGGGATTGAACTCCTTTGGATTAGGATATATTTCAGGATCAAGATGAACTGACCTGAACCAAGTTAGAACTTTCCAACCTTTTGGAATCATGTAACCTGTAACATCGAGTTGTAGTTAATCTATTTAATTCTATGAATAAAGTAACATGTTTTATGTTGCATCTTTACATCTACGTCATGCTACATCATAGAGTTGATAATTTTATTTAAGAGTTCAAGAAGTTTGAGCTTAGTATTTGTACTATGAAAGAATGATCATATATTTGATTCATCATTATTAACAAAGCATAATAGAAAAAAGATGTTGCCAAAATAGTTTGAACTTTGAAGGAATAAAAAAGGGACCAAGATAGATTATTCCACTTATGTTTTCATGACTAGTAATCAACACAAAGTGAGAAAAGAGATGTATGAAGCTTTTACTCAATTTATAAATAGATATATTATTTGAACATGGACTAACCATTGATATTGACATCAGATTTTGCCTCTCGAAAGACCATTAGTGAGAATGTAACCACACGTAATGTTTCATCAACCACCTATGCAAGGTAAATAAATAAAAATAAATGTAATCACAAAATCATCAATTATAATTTGAAAGAAGCCTTAAATCAACAATATCTACCTTAGAAAGATATTCCATCTTTCGAACTTCTTCGAGTATCAAACCTTTTTGTGTTGAAGGCCTTTTTCTTAGTATTTCTTCTTGTTCTTCCTATTTAAGGAGATAAACAATATTAGAAAGTAAAATTAAAGGTTTTGGATAAAAGAGTAGGACATTGAGACATATCTAGGCAAAATAGTAAATGCACACCTTTATTGTCCATTAGCAATTACAAATATAGATGAACAAATGACGATTAAGTGCTTTGATATTACCTTGGCCTTCTTGAAATATTCTGGATGCCTTTGGAGAAAATAGGTGGCCCACATGGTAATATGTCCTGAGGATTCATGACCCGCATTTAAATACATCAACATAATATCAATGATCTCCTCATCACCTAATTTTCTTCCATTTTCATCTTCAACGTCTATTAAAGCATCTATCATATCTTTGGCTTTTTTGTTGGACAATTTTTCCTTCCTTTCGTTTCTTCGCTTATCCACAACAGATTGAAACACAGCCAATAGATTTTTCCTGGCCTAAAATTAAAAAATAAATAAATTATATACCATGAAACATTACACTTGAAAAAGAACTTCAACATTTTCAATTAGTAGCATATATAACTTTGCATTTCATTCACATTAGAGGTAGATAAATACAAAACTTTTTACTTTTTGTTTAGGTTTCATACATTTAATGCTTTAGAGAGTAAGATGGTAATGGAAAGTTACCTTCAATGCTTTATGGAATGCAAATCCAGGAAGGTTAATTCGCATAGCTCTAACCCCATAATTAAGTATTGTGTATTCTTTCTCCAAAGCCTCCATAATAGATTCACTTTCTGCGCCAAGAAAAATATGTATAATGATTTTAAAAGTAAGCTTTCTCATTTGAGTTAAAAACTCAATTTCTCCCATGGTAGTCCATTTCTCCAATGAACTTTTTACAATTTCTTCAATATATTTCAAGTAAACGGAGAGTGCTTCGTAGCCATTGATTGAGGAAGATGTTAAGCGTCTAAGGCGCTTATGTTCTTCATAGGGCATTAAAATGAATGATTTTTCTCCAATGAGCTCTACTGTAGAACGGGGCCAACCTAAAGTGAATTTGTCATCATCCGTCAAAACTCTTCTGCATGCTTCAGGTGTTGTTACAATAACACTTGGGTTTCCAAACATCAAGACCTTGTATATGCCACTCTTTCCAAACCTGCATTATTGGTTGCATTAATACATTAGTTAATCTTTTGGAACGATCATTAGTGAAATTACACAAACTGTGAACTAAATTTCAAATTACTAATGTTCAGTTTTCTCTCATGTTTCAGGGGGTGTTAAGAGTCCTTCAAATATTAAAGCTTTAAAACTGTGGAGAAGAACATTGTAATATTTTAAAATCGTTAAAATGGACTTCACAAGAAAACAAAACAAAAGGAATCGTTGTACTGTAAATGAATAAGTAAAACTTTATGAATCCTTAAAAGATGGACTGTCTAGGGACTGGTAGGTTTCAAAAATATTTTCTTTTTTTATTTTCGATTTTAATTGCAAAAATTATAACCTTGTTTTTATTCTTTTTTCAAAAATTTGTACAGAAAATACTAAAAATATTATTTTTGTGTTCATTATGTTTGAACAAATCTTTTAAAAATAGGAATTGGAATGAAAATAATGATAGTTTTGTATAAAAACGAAAAGAGAAAATAATTTTTAAACCGAACAGCCCTTAATGTCTGTAGCAAATACTTGTCCACTTTTACTTCAAACAAAAATTGAAAACTATAATATAGATAATGAAATTAGATGCATCATAATAAAATGCACTTAATAAATGTTAATGAGTGCTTAGTAAAAGAAAATGACTATTTGTGTGGTTAATATCATATGTATTCAATGCTATGAGCGTTGATCTCTTGATATAGAGCAAATGAGCAATCATCGGAACAATTAAGTATCTTTGGTCCAAAATATCATGTGTGTGTTTTGCCAAAGGAGAATCTTGTTAAGTGAAATATAGAATCAATTGCAAGCCAACAATAGCATGTTGAACACAAAAAAACTAAATAAAGGATGGTGATTACCTTGAGACAAAGGAAGCCATGAAAGAATCAGGGTCATTGGTCTTGAAAGCTTTGAGGAAGGACCACATGTTGCCTATTAAAGGCCAACCCATGTCACCTGGAGGAAGAAAGTATCGCTTTTCCCCTAGTCTGTATTCATAGAGCAACCAATTTACATTCTTGAAGAGAAATCTTAGGGCCAAAAGAGCACCAACAGCATAAAGCATCAACAAGAAACCCATCTCCACAAAGTTGACACACCAAAACTTAGTACTAAACTGTGACACAAACTTCTTGACTCTGTGTGTGCCTATTTATATGCAAAATTCACCTAACCAAGAAGAGAGAAATTATGAAAGAAATGAAGTAAAATAGAAAAAGGAAATAAAATTTGAGCTACAGTGCTATTGAAAAATATATACATTAAATTCATTGAATTTAATGTTTTTTTGAATTTAATGTTTTTTAATTCTATTATTAAATTCCTTTATTGTAATATATATATTCATTAAATTTATAGATTTTGAAAATGGGTCTAATTATAATAATAATAATTTAATTAAATATATTTTCAATGTTAAGAATTTTTATATTGTTATTTTACACTGTCATTTAATGATACATTTTTATATTAACCAAATTTATTAATTCTATAATAATTAATAAAAAAATATCGTAATAATGTATTTGAATTGACTGATAGTATGAATTTTTTTTCCATTTTTAATGCACAAAAATTAAAATTCTTAAATAAAAAAATCACATTTGGTATACTTGTATAGTTTAATGAAATCCGGCAGACTGTCAAACTCTATAATTTTATTATTATTAATATTATTAAGTTTATTAGACTTAATTAAATGTTTGGTTCTTATAAAAGTTGCATAATTTTGACTTAATTTTTATAAAATGTTTTGTTAAAATATAGTTCTCACCTTCCCACAAAATATTATTTTTAATTTTTATAACTAATACGATTCAATAAAAAAAGTAACACTTTGCAGCATCTCAATGGATCACATTAATTAAAATAGATTGAAAATAATAGTCTAGGAAAAAAATAAATATTATATCTTAACAAAATATTTTAAAAAACTAAATTCAAATTATGTAAATTTCATCAAAATCAAATATTTAATTAATTCTTATTATTATTATTATTATTACTATTATTATTATTATTATCATCGCAAGTTGACCATTTTGTGTAAAATTAACCATAACTCCTATCAATAATAATATCATTTATTTGATTTAGAAATTAATATTTTAAAATAACTATCATAAATGAATTTTATCAACTTATTTGAATTCAATGGTGTGATAATTAATGATTTTAAAAAATGTACAAAGCATTAAATTCAATAAAGATATATAAAATTTTGCACTGGATGACATTAATTAAAAAAATACGCTACAGTGTATTTAAGTTAAATTTGGTAAAGAATTATAAAACTTTTTTGGTAGAAAAAATAATTTGAAATTAGTGAATTTTTATAGAAAATACGATAAACAATTAAAGAAGTTTTTTTTTATTGATATTAAAAATTGAGGAAGTAAATATATGTTAAGACTTCAATTAATTTTAATTATAAAAAATTTAAATATTTCTTTTATACATATAGAAATTTTTATGGTAACGGGTAATTAAATGGGTTTTAATATATATATATATATATATAAAGAAGTTATTTGAGTACTTTTTACAATTGATTGTGTTTTTTTTTTTTTTTGTGTGTGTTGTAATCTTGGTACTTGACAATAACTGAATTTTTTTTAATCATAGCATTAATATGTTTAGATTTTCAAGATCATTGTTTATTATATTATTTTATTTAAAAAATACTTGTTAAATTAATCTCTCTCTTTTTATTTTATCACAATAATCATTAAATTTATTAATCTTCTTTTTTTGAATTTCTTCTCTCAAAATATATTAATTAAAAGAATATGCGAAATTATTTTTATAAAATTTATTTAGAACTATATTTTATTTTAAAAATCAATTATTAATAATTGATTTTATTTGTATGATGATAATAATAATAAATTCATATTAAATAATTTAAAATTTAATAATATATTTATTTTAAATTAAAATAAATATTGATCATGTAAAATATTATTATATTTATTTTATCATTTTTGTAAAATATATTTTAATATATTCGTTTTTTCAATTTTTTAGCAATTCTTTTACAAAATAATTCTTAAATAAACTAACACAGTATATGTATCTGTAAAAAAAAAATTAAAAAATATCATATCATTTTTTAAGTAGTTGATCCTTTTATAAATAATTGATATAATATTTTTTTTTAGAATACAAAAGTGAGGATTTACTTACTCTAAGAATAAGTCGTTGCAAACTTAGTACGTTTAATAATTTACCCTGAATACAAATTTTATTAATTTAATTATTAAATTAAATGTTATCATTAAGCAAATCGACTATAAATTTTATATATTTTTAAAATATAAATTTTTTTAACTATTTAATAGCATGTCTATCAATATTGAAATTATCAATATAATATTGCAATATTAAACCACCGATAATACAATATTAATTTGGGTTAAATTATTTTATTTTAAAAATATTACATTTTGAAAATTAAAATTTTATTAAACTGTATATTTTTAATTTTTAAATTTAATTCAATGTCAAATGTTTAAAATTAATTATCTATTATATATTACACAAAAGTATAAACAAGTCAAGTCAAATATAGATTACAAAATAAAGGTATATATATATAATTAAATTCATTAAATAAAAATGTGTATTTAATATTTTAATAAAATATTATCAATATAATTTATTTATATTTTCTATTGTGTATATTTAATACATAAACTAAAAGATATTAAATGCACATTTAATTACTTACTAATAAATATTAAATATATTTTTAAATATTTTTATTTTTAAATCAATAATTATTTTTATTAACTTATACATTTTTTACAATATATAATATTTTTAATAAATTTTATCAATAAATTTTATTAATTATGTTTTAATTAATAAGGATATCATATTATACTAATAATTTATATTTATTGATAAATAAATTATTTTAATTTATACTTTTATAATAATATATTTTGTTATGAAATTTTAAATATATAACTTATTTAATGTATTCTTGTTTTTATTTTAATCTTACCCTACAATGTAAGGTACTATGCTAGTTTACAAGAAGTACAAAGCAAATAAAAACTTAAAGACTTTGCTTTTAGAATTTAATTAGCATAGACAATGTAATGTTAAATTATTTGTCATCCAATTGTACTTTTATAATAATTAATTTTTAAATTATATTAATATTTTATTATAATTGTATAATAATGTAAGAGCTTTATATTAATACAATATTAAGAACTATAAATTTTTTAATGGTAAGGACATAATTAATAAATTAAATAATTTTAGTGGTATACATAGGCTATGAATTTTAGGATTTATTTCTATGAGAAGAAAGCTAATAAATAAAATATTTACATGATAAGTAAGCTAACGAAGTTAGTAACCTTTTTTGGTGATTTTTTTTAAAGTAGGCTAAGTAATTAAGGAAAATTCCGTTTGAGGTAAGAATTATTTTTAGGGAGTTTTTATAAAATAAAAACAGTTAAAGTATTTTTTTTTTTAATGATATGTAGGCAAAGAATTATTATTTTTATTGTAATATGGAAAGTAATGAACTATACAAAATTGATTGTACTGTGGTTAAGGATTTTAAAAAATTATTTGTAAAAAAAAATAATGAATTAAGGAGTTTTTATGGTAAGTAAGATAAACAATTAAAGGTCTTCATTTTTTTTATGGATGGTATCCTTAACAATTACAAAAATGTTTATAATAAGTAGGTTAAGAATCTATATTTTTTTAATGTAAGATGATTAGGATAATAATTTTTTTTCTATTAGCTGGATATTCTTGGGAAGTTTGGCTTATTAGTACCTCAAATTTAAAAATTGTGTCATTGAAAGGATAAGAATGGTACATATGGTTTTCTGAAATAAATTTGGAGATGGTGATAGAGATTACATTCTTGGCTGCAATTGAAAGTGACAAAACTATCTTTCAACTTTTTTTAATACAAATGTACTCTTAATTTTGTAATATAATTTAATATATTAAATTATATTTTTAGAATTTGAATTTTCTAAAAAAATTAAATTTGTTGAAAACTTTTTATTTAAATTATATTATTATTATTCTTACAAATGTTGGGGATTTCACGGGGAATAAAAAAAACAGGAATGGAAAATAAATTTATCTGAAAGTTGAAGTTTAAAAATATAATATAGCCAGAGAATAATGTGGAGGGGTTTTCTATCCCCTCTATCGTATATCAGGTACAGGTGTATTATTCATTAAAATAAAAAATATATTTAAAATTTTTATTATATTAAAATTATTTAATATTTATTTTTTAAGTGATTAAAAAAGTACCTAACTGTATTTACGGTACTTAACCATATACTTAATGCATTAAATAAAAAAAGAGAGAGTTAAATAATACTTAAGTAAAGTTTTGATTTTAGTCCTCCATTTTGTTTTATTTAATTTAGTCTGATATGTTTTAATTTAACTTTTACCTCAATTCTTTAACTTTCTTTCAAAATTAATTAGTATTCTAAACTATTTTTTTATCCTCAAGTTGTCTTTTAAGTGTTTCATTTGTCAAATTTTATTAACTTCGAAGATGTTTTGGTATTTAATGCAATTATGCTGAATTGCTGATTAATAATAATAAAAAATATTATTCTATGATATTTAATAATTGATGATGGGTTGACACCGACTATTAAGTATTTATAATGCAATAAAAAAGAATAATTGCTCAGAAATGATTTATAAATAATTAATAAGTTTTTTAGTTGTAATATGAAACTTTATATGATCATTTAAAATTAAAATGCATGAAAATGTAAAATAAGAATAAGTTGTTGTCCAAAATGTTGCTAATTTAATTTTTTTATTAAATTAAAAGATAGAATAAATATTTTTTTAAATAATTCATAAAAATAAATAAAATTAAATTAAAGTACTGAAATGAAACATAAATTAAATTTAAAGAAATAAGAAAGTTAAAGAAAAAAAATCATAATTTTAGTATAATTTAAATGAAAAATATAATGTATATATAAAAAAATTTAAAAACAATGTTAACAACAAATGTGCATTGTATTGAAAAAAAATAAAATTATATCGAATTGTTGACACATAAGAAAGTTTTCAAGAATTTGAATTTATGTTAATATGCATTCATTTTTGTTAGTTTAAATTTTTTAATAATCAATAAATTCAAAATTAAAATATTTTAAATAATTATAAAAATTTAAAATAACTTATAATATTTCATTTGCCATAGTAATTACACTTAGAAAGTAAGAATTAAATTATTGCAACTATTTTTCATTTTGTATTTATTATATTAACGTGTATTTAAATTTTATTATTTTAAAATAAATTTTAAAATAAATGTGTATTTTTTGGTCAAAGAAGGAAATAAACTAATTATATAATAAAAAATAGCTAAAATTTTCTTTATAAATACCTCATTTAATAGAGAAATGTTTTTCCAAATTTTAAAGATTGAATTAAGTTTCAAACTTAAAAGATTGTACATCAATATTGACAAATTAAAAATAAATGTGTTTTAAAAATTAATAAAAAATACTATAATATTTTAGTAGATATTTTATTATATATGTTTAAGAAATAAAATAAATAATTACTTTGTTTATTTGATAAATAAAATTTTTTTAAATATACAAGGCATACATTTAATACTTCGAATTAAGTTTAATAAATATATTATTTTATATGAACATAATATTAAATTATGTTATTCAAGTTGATTATAAATATATAATATATTTATCATAATATTTAACACAATATTAATGCTACAATACAGTGAATTTGTGTCAGTTATTTTTAATATATTTTTTACAATCAATTTTTATGAATATTTTTATTTATTAATAATTTTTTTTATATAAACATTCATACATTTAATATATATATATAAATTAAATTCAGTAAATATATTACTTCAATTGAACAGAACATTAAATTATATTATTCAAATTTTTTTATATAAGTTATGAATGACATGTTTTTTAATTTTTAATTTTATTATTTACATTAATAAATTTGAGACATTTTTAATGTCACTACTTAAATCAAATATTATTTTCAAAATTTAAAATTAATAAATATATCATATTTTTCATTCTATTTAACTAAATAATGATATTTAATTATAATTTTTACTCACTATTTATTATTTTAGGTTAAAAAGTTATAGGTGCTGGTTTTTTTTTTCATTTTTATTAAAATATTAATACTCTTCATCAATGCTAATACTAATAAAAAATTATGATTTCAACTCTTAGAGCAATCAATAACACTTAAATCTTATTAAAAAAACTTATTACACTTTCTATCTTTAATATAATTAATGTGCTTGTTTTTAACCAACAAAAATTATTACTTTTAAGTATTTAAATTTAATTTAAAAATAAAAATTTATGATAAAGTTAATATTTAACCAATAATTATATATATTACAAATTTTTGCATAAATTCTAAAATAAATTATCAATCAATATTTTTAATGTATCTATTAATATTTTTTAAAATTAAAAAATAATTTTATTTACATTGTCATTACAATTATCCTATTTATTAACATAATATATCTACTCATAAATATATGATGTATGTAATAAAATTAATAATTAATTATATATACTAATTTATTTACATTTTAAAAATAATTTGTAAATATTTTTTTTACCGTATTAACTCATTTATCTTACTTATTAATTTTTCATTTTATAAAATGATGATATATTATAATGTTTTATCAAAATTATATTTTCATGAGTTATTTATAGCACTAATTTGTTAAAGATACAAAAATATAAATTAGAAATTATTAAATTGTATATATTTATTTTAAAATAAAATATGTGCACAAACTACTGACTAGTGTTTTTATATTATCATCTCATCTAATCATGAATTTTAATAATAATAATAATAATATATTATTATTATTATTATTTTTATTTTTATAATAATTAATTTAAAAGTAATAAATTTAAATTAATTCACAATTTAAAAATTTATATAAAATTAAACTAATACAATAATTACCTGGTGCTGCTTGGTATCTATTTCCTTTTATCTTATATATATATATATATATATGTAAAAGTATGTCCTATCCAAACCTATTGAGGAAGATAGTTCATTATTAGCGTTAATGTTGATCTCTGCACAACACAACAAATATTAATTTTGCAGAAGAAAAAGAAATTAGATTCTTTCCTTTGAATTTGTAGCTAATGAAACAGTTAATGTTTGTGGATGTTTCAGAACATTTGGACCAGATAGATGAGTAACTAGCTACTATACTTATTTGTATGTGCTGTGAAACTTCCTAAACTGTTATTTTTTAAAACCATGACAACAGAGTGGATATGGGCTTCTGCATGTGTCTCTCTCTCATGCTGATGAACATCTCTTCACTCTTCCTAAGCAATTGTCCATGGGCCTTGTATGCGGTAAGTATCTCACGGCACCATGAGGATTAAGCTGTTCAAACCTGTGCAATCAAACAACAACATAAAATTTTGTTAATACAACGTTAGAAATAAAAAATTGGTTTCATTTTTTTAAGTCTTTAAATGACGGTTCTATGTTCAGTAAAATTAAAACCATATCTAGCACATCTGGAATATGTACCAAAAGGGTTCCTTTTGTTTTCATTCACTATATGATTGGCTAGCTTATATAACAGTTTAATTTATCAGACTGTTATGGTATAATATATTAACAGAAAAAAAAAATAGATATGCAAATGATAAAAAATAATATAAAAATCCAAGTAGCCCTAAACGAATTCCATATATATTGACAAACAAGTGGACCATAGAACTTGTAGAATATGAATAATATTTAAATTTAACTAAAATTTTGATTTCCTAAAATTCGTTATTTTTTATTTGATCCTTTATTTTTTTTTCAACTGGTCTCCAATTTTTTTTTCTCTATTCAGTCTTTCTACTGGTAGTTTGTTACTTGGATAATTTTTATTTTATTTTTCATTTTTTAATTTTATCAACTTAGATGTTATGTAAACAAATAACAAAACAAGTTAAGAAATTACTAACCGAGGAATCAAATAAAAATGAAAAGAAACTTTTTAGGAACTAGGTTGAAAATAAAAAAAAAAGGAACAAAATAAAAAAATTGCAAATTTATGAAAGTGTGAAATTTAGTTAAGCCTAATATTTATTATATAAGAAAAGAGATGCATAAAATGAAAAGTTAGGTATGATTGCTCACTTGTAATTTTGGATGAAATAATGAAGAAAAACTGCTATTTCCATCTTGGCGAGATCATTCCCAGGACACAATCTGCTACCTCCTCCAAAAGGAAGAAATTCCCCTACTTTGTGTTCTTTCTATGAATAAGCATCAACAAATTGAACATTAAATCATAAAGCATACATACAAGTGGAGAGTAATTGGAACAATCCATTCACTCAATCCAATTTAATTAAAAAAAAAAAAAGAATTTCAACTTACATTCCATCGATAAGGATTAAATTCCTTTGGGTTAGGATATATTTCAGGATCAAGGTGAATGGACCTAAACCAAACAAGAGCTTTCCAACCTTTTGGAATAGTGTAACCTGTTTCATTCCATATACACACAGTCTTTTTTAATATGAATCAAAGGTTATACTTCATGCTACCTTTTTGCATCAACTCTATGCCGCATCATGATATTCTTGTAACATTTATGTGGATCATACTAATCACTTGCAATCATTTGTACCCTAGACAAAACTAAGTTAAAAAAGAGGAAGAAGAGGATAACTTTGTTCCCTTCTTTTTTTCATATCTACCAAGTAAGGGCAATCTTATAGAATATTCTGATTTTGGAAATGAGTTAGTCTTAACATATCTTGTAAATAGAACATTCTAATATTGATATGTGAAATAAATAAGTAGAAACAAAATAAATAAGTAGAACACAAACTAACCATTGATATTGACATCTGATTTTGCCTCTCGAAACACTGCTAATGAGAATGTGATCACACGCATTGTTTCATCAATCACCTAAGGAATGTGAAAAATGGAAAAACGATATAACAATAGTTTATCTTGTATCAGTTGATGACATTAACTTAGATAAACAAATATACCTTGTAAAGAAAATCCATCTCTCGGATCTCCTTTAGTATCAACCCTTTCTGTGTTGGAGGCCTTTTCCTTATTATTTCTTCTTGTTCTGCCTATTCCAAGAGTAAACAATATCATAGAGTAATGGTTAAATATTTTTGGGGAGAGGGAAGGATGTGGAGACATTTTTCAAGATGAAGTGATTAATATACAAGTCTATGATCCATTAATAATTGGAAGTTTTGATGGACTATGATAATTTAATAACTTGATACCTTAGCCTTTTGGAGATATTCTGGGTGCTTATTTAGGAAGAAGATTGCCCACATGGTAATATGTCCTGAAGACTCATGACCTGCATTCAAGTACATTAACATAATATCGATGATATCTTCATCCCTTAACTTTCTTCCATCATCATCTTCAACATCTATCAAAGCATCCATCATATCTTTGGCTTTTTGAGGTAAATATCCCTTCCTAATGTTTCTTCTCTCATCCACAATAGATTGAAATATGGCCACTAGATTTTTCCTAGCCTGAAAAAAAACATAAAAATAAGATGTTTACCTATATAACTACGAGATTTTCATAGACTACATTCTGCTTCTTCATGTTATAATAAGAGTCTCGCTGAAAGAGACTTTTGCTCCATTTGAAGAACATACAGAATAATGTGACAATGTGAATAAGTAATATAACAATCCTAGAATATGCTTGATTGAAGACCCCAAAAGAAGAAAAAGAACAATATAAGTAATATAAATAAGTTTTATTGGCATATGCTCTAATTTCAACTAGATTATGAACATAGAAGTATATATCGCATTTTAGCACTGCAACAAATTAGTGTCCCGTAACACCTAAGAATTCAAAAGTGAACTACCAGGTCAACACACACTTCTAAGGTGTATTTGGATAACATTTTAATTAAACATTTATTCAATAAACTCTTATTATATAAGGGATTTATACTGTAAACTTAGGCTTAAAAAACTATTTTGATAAGTTACATGTAGAAGTTTATTGACATAAGTTCTAAAAAATTATAACTTATTTTCGTAAGTTTTTCATATACTATTTCAAACGCACCTTTAGTCTAACAGACAGAAATTGATTGTATTTTCTTCAAATGGTTTCAACATCACATAAATTACAAATTATGTGGTCACTATCAAATAAGTGAATGATAAGAACATTAATAAGCTTTGATTCATGATGAATTAAAGTAACTTGACCATTAACCACTTCATATTTTGAGATAATTGCTAGAAGGACACTACTATGTTTTTTGTTCAAATTAAAAGCAAATCAATGATAATAAAACTTTCTATTTTCATGTATAAGCCAAAAGTTGGATTAAGACATTATTACTATAGTTTTCATATCAAACAATGACTTATCGATGTGTTTCCAACATTAAATAAGCACCATTAAGAATAATTTGTTGATTTAGAAAAAATTATCTACACATCATTATGACAAAATTATGAAGAGCATTAAGATGAACTTGCAAAGTACCTTATATGCCTTATGGTATGCGAATCCAGGAATATTAATCCGCATGGCTCTAATTCCATAATTAAGTGTAGTATATTCTCTTTCCAGAGCCTCCATAATAGGTTCACTTTCTGAGCTAAGGAAAATATGCATAATGATTTTGAAAGTAAGCTTCCGAATTTCAGTCAAAAACTCAATCTGTCCCATGTTGGTCCATTTTTCCAATGAACTTTTCACGTTTTCTTCAATATATGTCAAGTACAAAGACAATGCTTCCATGCCATTGATTGAAGAGGATGTCAAACGCCTAAGACGCTTATGTTCTTCATGATCCATTGAAATGAATGAGTTCTTTCCAATGAGTTCTATCGCAGAAGAAGGCCAACCAGGTATAAATTTATCATCATCTGTTAGAACCTTTTTACATGCTTCAGGTGTTGTCACAATTACACTTGGGTTTCCAAACATCAAAACCTTGTATATTCCAGTTCGTCCATATCTTTATAGTTTGTTGATCGAATAAAAATGTTAGTATCAGCTATGATGCACAAATATGATATGGGTATTGAATCAAATACAATACATATCAAGAGTCTAAGATCACTGTCATCATATAAATTATAGACATTACTAAAAATTGTAGAAGTTATAAACCATTATCATCGTAAATTACTACCTATTGCCCACTAAGAAAAGCAGCTTCCACGTACGATTTATCAAGAGACTATACCTCTATATAATTACAAAACATTTATCATTTATTAATGCATAATAAATGTCATTTGATAGAATTATTTTCGTCAGTATAGATTTCATCTAACAATATTAAATTGTCAGTAAAGAATTCGAAAGCATATACTCATAAATAATGTACTATGCTAATGTTTGTACATTGATGATATATATTATTGATTTATGCTAATAAAATTATTTATTAATATAATATATTATTAGGCAAGATCTTCTCACACTAATTTAAATCTAAAATTCTTCTTATACTTAATCCAAATATTTCTTTTAATTTATATTTAACGAGTTATAATTTATTATTTTACTAACCGGTAGATGTAAGTTAAATGAAAGATTCAAATTAAGTGTAAGAATTTTTATACTTAAACTAATTTAAAAAAACCCTTCCCCATGTATTATATTATTTGTAAAAATTAAATACTATTTGACGTATTTAGTGGTGTTTAATACTAGATAATTTACAGTTTAGGCATACATTTCGAGGAAGTATCCAAGAGTAACAGTACTGGATATGCATGCACACGATACTAATATGTAAAGCAAATCAAGTGTTAGTATTTCATAGTTTATCAAACATTGGCATGATCATTAGCGGAACTACGCATTTACATTAAATTATGTGCTAAACCGATAGTTATGGACACTAAAGTAAAGAATTTAAAATTTATAATGGTATGTGATGTGTTTAGGTAGCACCTAAAATATTTAATAATTCATCAAATACACAGGGAACGACAACGTAATAATGCTACAAAAAGCAATTGTTTTAATAAATATGCTAAATGACATCAAGTGTCTCCCTCATCTTTTATCCCTCATCTCATATCCAACGTTTTGCTTCTTGTTTTTCTGAACTAAAAGTAGCCTATGAAATTTCTTCCGCCCAATTTATGTTCTAAAAAATAAAGAATTTCACACCTGACGTAAAGTAGAGATAAAGATCTAAAGTTGTTTCAGATTTGAGAAATAATTGGAATCAAATTTGAAATACTTCGAATTAATAGCATTAGATATCTTCGGAAAAAAAATTTACTGGAAGAAGTATATATGCTCTCCTCGGAACTTTCGTTTATTCCTGGGAGATAAGACAACAATACTAGGTGGTCTACGTCACATAAGATAAGCAGCATTACCAAACTTTTTATTCGAGTTTATCTTAAAATTGTATTTTAAAATAGTTACCTATCTTAGGACTTATTTACAGTTTGAGAATTAGTTGCTGTGTTTTATAATATAAAAATATACATTTTGATAAAAAAATATATATGACTTAAATTATATCATACATTTTAATAATAAAATTTATCAGAATAAACTAAAAGATTAATTAAAACATAACATTAATCCAATTTGTTAGTGGTAATTTTGAATGATCATTTTTCAGCTTTAATTTCATTCTTACGGGTGAAATTGAAATGATTCTCTTCTTTGTATACTGTCATTTGTGGTAATTTTGAATTAGTATATTCATTTTAAATTTTCTTAAGAAAAATGAAATTTTCAAGTAAAACCCTCAACTAAGAATAAAAGTGTTTAAAATTTATTTTATTTTTAAGTTTCAAAGTATACAATCAAGTACTTAGAATTGTCTGTGACAGTGAGTTACATTGTCAGAAAAAAATATTCATAAAAATAATTACTTATTGTTATTAATATGACTTTCTTATATTTAAACAAACTAAAGTGTGAATACATTTAAACTTTTAAATAAAGATTATATTTTTTTAAAATTCAAAATATGATGGGATGCAACTTAAGATAATTTTTGAAACATAAAGAATTACGCAAAAAGCTGTTTTAGAAATTGTCATTTTTTTATAAAACATAAAAATACATAATTAATTTAAGGCTAGAAAGCTGCAACGACAGAAGTTGGAGTTTCAACGTATCATGCTGTCCACAACTTGTGGCTTCTGCGCCATTGCCACATAGTAAAAGGAAACTTAGGACACTGTGCGAGAAAGAAAGAGAAGTTTCTTTTTTTTTTAAGTCGAGAAAGAGATGTTAGCACAGTGAAAATGACAAACAAGTGCAGCTCTTCTCTTTCAAAGAATTGTTTGTTTCTGTTTAGCTAGAACTCTAAAACAACAAAAACAATAATAGTAATTTTCCCTCAATATTTCTTTTTGATTTTTACAACACTACCCATCTTATATTATATACATATATATATATATATATATATATATTATCTCTCTTTAATCTAAAAGCATAGTTAAAAAATTAAGTGAAAATTACATCACTGAAACTAGAAAGGTAGCATTATGGTAATTTCACACAGGGCAATCAGCTTTTATGCGCCAAACTAGAGATAAAGTAGAAAAGTATATTATCTTGGCTTTGCTGGACCACTATCAGTAGCAGCTTTGTTAACACAAAACACAGAAGCAGCTGCAAGCTAGAACTAGATAGCTTGTGAAAAACCATGTATATGAAGAGGGTGATAAAGAAAATTAACATATGGTAATTACCTGGAGACAAAGGAGGAGACGAAGGAATCAGGGTCCTTGGACTTGAAAGCTCTAAGGAAGGACCACATGTTGCCAATGAAGGGCCAGCCCATGTCACCCGGGGGCAGAGAGTACTGCTTCACACCCAATTTGGATTCATAGAGCCACCAATTTACATTCTTGAGGATGGATCTTAAGACCCAAAGAGCACCAACAATGGCCACAAGGGCCACCCACATGGAACCCATCTCCATGATCCTCACTCACACAAGTTGCTCACTTTCTTTCCCTCTATTTATAAGCAAAACTTGGGTATGGGGATGTGAAGAGTAGAAGAGTGAGATGAGAGGGAAGGGTGGAACAAAGAAAGAGAGGAATTTTATGACACTAGTGGGTGGCTAATATGAATTTCTTTAAAGTCATACAACACAGGGCTGGCCGGCCTTCTTTTCCCAAATTTTGTCCCGTACCCAATTAGGAATAGGATCCATTACATCTATTATCCCACTACCTTTGCTTTTCACAAAGTGATTCACAAATATTTTTAAGTTTTATTTAATTCAACGTTAATAATTACTAAATATACTTACATATCATCGAACATATTGCTATTTTATAAACAACTTCTTATGAGGTTTACATTTCATCGTTCGTTAGCCAAAGCTAATTAAATTAATTAAATATAAACATTATCGGTTCCCTAGTTTTACCCACAGGTACAAGTTATTAAACATTGAATAGGATACCGACTTCCGTTACGTATAAATATGGAAGCTTCTTATATCACAATTATAATACTAGTTTGAAGTATAAATTAACAACAAGAGTTGCTTTAACGGAAGCAATCACATCCTTATAAAATAATCATCCTTAAGAAAGATGCTCATATTGGATACTTAATCATGTCTAGAACCCAAACAAAAAAATAGTTTATTATTATTATTCTTACTGTTATTTGTGTGTTTTTGAGTAATCCTCCAACTGATGATCATGAATGATGATGTTCAAGTCCATGAACCACCCTTGCCATGTTTTGAGTTAATTTTGGATACTGATACGGTGAGAGTCTTCTGTACCTTTTAGTTATTATTCACAATGAAAATACGTTTTAAAAATTTATTAAAATTATGTTAAGTGCCATAAAAGTTATAATTTACAATATTAGAAGATTTTATTCTAGAATATATTTGATTTGAATCTAAACACCCTCTCATTTATCTTAAAACTTTACTTTTATGGTAAAGTTAACTTGCATGATTTGAGAGTTAAAAAGTCCAGCAATTAGAGGAAGGAAATAATTTCTGGTGCTTCTTGGCGATCATGTGTTAACTATACGACCAATAGGCAAGAGTGGACATCATAGAAATCCTCAAAAATCCCCATTTTTTATGCTCCTTTTGAGTGTGACAGTGGATAAAGCTCACAATGGTAGTGGAGTTACAACACAGTAGTCCAATTAACTTTTCTAAATGCTGCATATCGATTCGTGTTGGATGTGAAATTCTTTCTTTGAATTGAAAAAAGCAAATCTGAACCAGATTGCTCATGAAAAAGGGTTATTTTATAAGTAAATTATTCATTGTTTTTCCTCTTCCTTTCCACTTGGGTAATTTTACAATTTAATTCTGCTCAAGTAGGGGGTGAAGAATTAAGCTTTTGAGAATCTGGGTAGTTGTTTAATTTGATGAGAAGCATTTACTCAGAATTTGGTCTCACAAATTAAGATTGCTTTACAATTAGTTTTCTAATCCTTCGTTGTTCCAATACCTTTGCAAACAAAGGATCTCGCATTCCATCGGTGGCACATTATTATAATCTTATTTTAAATAAATTAATAAAGTTAAGATATTATATTAAAAATATATACAATTTTTATTGATAAAATTTCATTAATATTTCTAATTTACTCCACAGAGTAAATTATATAAATACTGTTTAATTCATAAGTAAAAAGATGAAATATTACAGTGTTAATTAAGCTGGCTACAAGCTCTTTAGTTCCTTGCAGCTTAGTTTGAATTTTGTGCACTATTTTATATATAATTAAATTTAAAAACGTTGAGAAAGAAATTATAATTAAATGTATTTTTTTATTAGAATGTATAAATTTTTTAAATGGTAAGAGATATTGAATTTGTCAAGTAAAAACGTTAAAAGAAAAGAGTAAAAAAGCATTCACCTTACTAATTTTCCAAGGTATTATAATTTGAATTAGAAAAAAAAATATATACATCTCTTCACTTCAAAAAACTTAAAGACTGTGTCAATTTTTTTCTTTATTTTAAAAAAATCAATATCATTCTTTCCAACCATCCTTGAGGCAAATATGTATTTTAGATATATAATTTCAATCTTTCACATAATTATACAAATTACACTTAGAATGAAATTATGTGCCTAGGATTAATTCAGTTTTTATAACAGTTTTCTGTTTAAATAATAATAATAATAAATCCTTCTTGAAAGTAAAAAATTGTTATATAAAGTTTAAGTATCTATTTTAACGACAGCTTGAATAATTGTTGTTTATTTATTTTCACAATGAATTTTTACCTCCAATAATACTAATTGTATAAATGTTGTTTAAATATAATAATTGGCAATGATTTTTGAGACATTAGATGAATAATCTAATTCTATCAACACAATAATAATAGTAGCTTATAATTTAAGGATGATTTTAAAATTATTGATAAATATAGACAGGCAACAGTTCAATATCACACTCTTTTCAAATATAAATAATTGATAAATTTAGTTATAGTTAAAAAATGGTCTCTATTAAATATTAAAAAAAATAGTGTCTATTATGAGATTTGGAAATAACTTTTATCTAAACCTTCAAATGTTTTTCGAAGTAAATTTTCTTTAGATAAGCATTACACTACACATAAAATAATATTTTATTTTACTATAGAATCAATTATTAAAAAAAAGATAATAAATTTAATAGATTAGGTGATTTTAATATCCATCAGTCATGTATGTGTATATTCATTTATACATGTCAAATATAATATATAATTAATTAAATAATAAGAGATGTCAAACTTAATAAAATAATATTTTTAATATTTTATATTAAATATAAATTTTATCAATTGATCATAGAATTTAAATTTTTAATAAAATAAAAATAAGTTTACAAATTTTTTAAAACTTAAAATATTAAATGATACGCTATTATTTACATTATTTTAACATCTTATACACTTTTTAAAATATCAGCAATTAATAATAAACATTTCATTAAGCATATATGGATGACTAAATCAAATAATTTTTAATATATAATCATCATATTAATATTGCATACTTTAACGGATGGATTAATAAGAATTATTTAAGATAAAAAGATATTAGTTTACAAATTTTGACACATGATGTTATTTTTCCTAATACCATATGCATGTGTTTTCTTATTACATTAACATATGCAAAGGTACTCCGATGTTAAAATTACCATTTCAATTTGTTCTTTTAAAAAAATTCTAATGTTTATACTTATATTTTATTATTTTGACATGACTAATTAATTGCACTTATGAAATTATTTTCTTATCAAGCTGGTTGTTAAAGGTTGAAGGAACCAACAAATCAAATGGATGCTTCCCATATTCATTAACACACGTGAATGGATGGTTGAAGCAAAGTATCTAAGCTTCCTCTTCAATTGACGTGAAAATTAGGAAAAGACTAAAGCTCTGAATTGTATTGTAACCTCTGTTGTGTGTCTTCATTCATAAATGGTGATGTCTACACCTTTCATTTGTATGTAGAAGGAAAAATGAGTTGTAATAACTTCTTCAAGTGACATAATTTGAAGATTATCATATCTATGATGAGGACACTGAATAAGTAAAGGATGTACAAACGAAGGACACCATGTGCATATGCAAGCCCTATATAGAACAGTGAAACAAGTACACTTCAATCAACATGAATTTATATTTATTTTAATTCTATTTATTGTAACTTTTGTGTTAGATCCACCTTTATATGACATTTAATGTGTTTTTAAATATACACTAAATGTGCTTATATGGAGATTTTTACTCCTTCATATTCTTTAATATACATAATAGATAAATATGATCATAATCTTTTAATAAAGTGATGGTATTAGCTTGTGATATTGATACTTTATCCGTCCTTATTATGATCCACAATAGTATTTATTTTAGTTTATAAGGTTGTAAGGATATAAGCTTTATTTCAGTAATTTGTGTCTTTAGGAATGTGTTTTGTAATAGCATCTTGAAGGTTGAATGAATGGGTACAGTCAATCGTAAGAAATTATATTATATTATATAGTGTAATTCAACTAGAAAACATTGTGATTTACTATAGTACGTGCAAATAAAATATTAAAATAACTTTTGATAGTATAAACTTTGTCTATAAAAAATTAAATTATAAGTAAAGGATTTAATGGTCTATATTAATAAATAATATATTATAATAACATTTGTATATTTATAGTGTACGTTAATATTTTATACTTATAAAATTATTTGTTAGTATAATGTACTAAATTGTTAGTTTGAACTCAAAGTATTTATACAAATAATTCTATTTTTGTTAAAAAAATTATACAAAGATAAGTTAATCAAAATATTATTTGTATATATTGTAACTACGATGGATAAAGACTACACGAAGGAATGGAATAAAAATAATTTTAATAAAAGTAAGTAAATTCAATTTTATAAACTAAAATCTAAATTATGTCTAGATAAAAAATAAAGTAGATTAGATATTTCACTTTTTTTAAAATTTAAAATTTTAATTTAGTTTAGCTTAGAATATAAATTAGAGTTGTATATCTAGATTTTTGCTCACCCCTTAGTCGTTGGATGGCACTAGTGGTGCAATGGTGCTTGCAAGATCATTAGAAAAAAAAGGGCCCCAAAGTGTTCCCCAAAGTGAAAACAATGAAATGAGTTCCCAATACCTCAAATCCAATAGCAAAATGTCATTCATTGGCAGGGATCATCAATTTGAACGAAAAATGATCTAATGGACAGTATAAATGTGGTGCCCAGAAGGACAATTTTAAATAATTAATCAAGCCATACACATAAGGACATAGCACGTGTGACTTTAAGGCTTTTTAATTCACTGGAAAAAAATAATGTAATTTATTAATAAATAATTTTTTATTAAAAGTATTATGATATATTATTAAAACATTATATGTTAATGTAACACAAACAAAATTATTTGATTGACATTTTAACCTTTTTTTATTTAATCTTCTAAAATTTATTCATTTAATTAATAAAAGCATTTTTTAAAAAATATATATTTTTTTTTTTGTTAAAAACATTAGTTCTGTTGAAAAATTAGTATGCATCTTTTTCTTAATTGTGAATTCCAACAAAAAAAAAAA